TTGGCTGGAATTGTTGCAAATTGTCTCAAAATGTTGATTCTCAAAATTCTTTGAAAAAATGCAATTTATTTTAATAAATGTTGCAATATGTCTGAAATTGTAGCAAAACTTCTGTCTAAAAATGTGTGAGAAAATTATCTTAAAATTGTTGAAAATTATTTAAAAATGTTGCAGTTAGTCTAAATTTGTTGCAAATTGTGTGACAACTCTGAAAAAACATTCAAAACAACGTCTTAAAATTAAATAAATTGTAAAATAAATAAAATAAAAGTAAATTGACTGACATTGTTGCAAATTTTCCGCCTAAAAATGTTGCACATTGAATGAAAGCGTTGCAAAAAATATTAAAATTGTCTAAAAACGTTAAAATATCTCTGGAAAAATGTTGCAAATAGACTGAAATTGTTACAAAATTGCTGTCTAAAAATGTCGAAGATTCAATGAAATGTTGCAGATTGTCTGAAAATATTGTCTTCGGTCTAAAAATGTTGCAAATTGCCTGAAAATATAAACTGGCCGAAAAAATTGTAGAGTCGATGAAAATGTTGCATATTGTCATTGGAAATATTACATTTTTGTCTAAAATTATTGTAAATTTTCTATTAAAAAAATATTTTAATTTGAACAAATTGTGGGTCTAAAAATGTTTTAGATTGAATTAAAATGTTGCAAAAATTACCTTGATAATGGTGCAAATTAAAATGTTGCAGTTTGTCTAAAATTGTTGCAAATTGTCTGAAAACGTTGAAAACTCGATCTAAAAAAGTAGGAAATTGAAATTGTTGCAAACTTTCTGTCTAAAAATGTTGTACATTGTATGAAAATGTTGCAAAAATATCTAAAATTGTCTAAAAACGTTGAAAATTCTCTGGAAAAACACGTTGCACATAGACAAAATTGCACATTATCTCAAAATGTTTTCTCAGAAATTCTCTGAAAAAATGCAATTTGTCTTAATGAATGTTGCAATCTGTATTAAATTGTTGCAAATTTTTTGTCTAAAAAATAGGAATAAATAGAATAAAATAGAATAAATAGTTTGACTAAAAATGTTGTAGATTAAATGAAAATGTTGCAAAAATATCTTAAAATTGGTACAAATTAATTTATAATGATGCAATTTATAATTAATTTATAGTGTTGCAAAATTGTTGCAATTATCTGAAAACGTTGAAAATACTAAAAAAAAGTTGCTAATTGTCTAAAAGTTTTGTAATTTGTTTGAAAAAAAAAAGCGATTTATGTGAAATAGTTTGGTAAAAATGTATGTAAATGTATAAATGTAGCAAATTGTATAGAAGAGGGTAATTTGCTTAAAAATGTTACAAATAATCTAAAATAGTTGCAAAATCTCTAAAAATGTTCAAAATTCTGCAATTGCAATTCATCTGAAAAAAAATTACCCTAATAAATGTCGCAAATTGTCAGTGTTTTGAAAATGTTGAAATGTTTACCCATAACCAACGAATGCAAACCCATAAACACAAATTTGAATACTAATTATATCAATTCTATTACTATCATCATCTACTATGGCAACACTTATCGTCCTTTAATAACCGCCCGCGCCGGTAATGCGCTTCTACTGGCGCCCGCGTATATAAAAATCTACTAAACTAACAGGGCAGGGGGGGGAGGGGCTTGTGATGAGTGTTATAAAGGGTAAATGAGTAAATGGGCAGAGGCGGCAACTACCCCCATTCGCGCTCGGACCACGCTTTTGTATTATATATGGCCACGGTTGTAAATTGTCAACTCATTTAGGGCTATCCGCGTTTTGTATCATCATATTGTTGTAATGTAGCTGTATAATTATTTTCAGTGAAATGCACGAGGAAGCACATGCTGGGAAATGTGTGGTTTGCATATGACTCGGTAAGAAATTTATGCAAAGTAATAAAAGAGTTGGGGAATAGAATTTATGTTCTAATCGTACTTGAACCACTGCATCTCCACTGCGCTGCATGTTTGAACGTTATGATTTTTGAATAAAGTTTTTATGATTTTTTAACTTCCCGAAGGAGAAGTTTATGTTTTCATCAAAAAATCCGAATTGCTAATTTTATGTTTTCTCGACGTTTCAAGCCATTCTGAATCGAATGAGACCAAATTTGGAAAAAGTATGTGTGTGTGTGTGTACGTGTGTGTGTGTGTACGTGTGTGTGGTGTGTGTGAACAGATTCTTGGCCGTAATTGACGTTTTCTCGAAAACGGCTGGACCGATTTCAAAAATTTAAAAGCCACTCGATGTATCTCGATGAGGACTATTGTTTGTCAATTTTGTGCGACGATCGGCCAAGCCGTTTCTTGATAAATCGCAAAAAAGTTTAAAAAAAATCGTCTACGTTCTAGCCCGAAATTCTGAATCGATTTTGAAAATTCAAAAACCGTTCGAAAGATATTGGTTGGGAATCGTGCTGATTAGTTTTTGGTAGAGATTGGCCGGGCCGTTTTCTTGTAATAAAGTTTAAAAAAAAAATCGACGATTTTATGATTATTTTTTTGACGGTAGATACCATAGTCTTCCAGATCATACTAAAATATTACGGCCCTACGACAAGTGATTTAGCTTTAAAAAATCGTCAAAGTTTGCAAAAATTAGTATGGTCTTTTTGGCATTTGTCAAAATTAGAACTTTCATCGACGTTTTCTCAAAAACGCCTGAACCGATTTCAGATATTTAAAAAGCATTTGATGTATCTCGATGAGGATTATCGTTTTTCAGTTTTGTGCGATGATCGGCCGAGCCATTTCTTTGTAATTTGCGAAAAAGTGTTAAACCTTTCGTCCACATTTAAGCTCATGCTACCGAATCGATTTTAAAAAATCAAAAACTGTTCGAAAGATATTAGTTGGGAATGATACTGATTAGTTTTAGGTGAAAATCTACCGAGCCGTTTTCTTGTAATTAACTGTTGAAAAAAAATTTTGGCCGATTTTTATGGAACTTTTATTGCCGATATATATCATGGTCTTATAGAACTTACTGAAATATTGCGGCCTTACGACAAGTAATTTAATTTTAAAAATTCATCAAAGTTTGAGAAAATGAGTAGTTTTTTTTGACGTTAGCTAAGATTAAAATTAGACGATTTACTTGGTACAACGATAGAGTACTTGGTCTTAATAAACGTAATAAATCATTAAAGTCCTACGGAAACTGGTTCAATTAAAAAATTATTGATTTTTAAAAATTTGCTTTTAGAAAATACTCCGATTAACGTGTTCGTTCGTTTTCAATTATGTGTAATAAATCCACTCGGAAAACTTTTAATCACTCATAAATTAATTTATATTTTAGTAATTAAGTCGATTATTTACACATATCGGGATTATTTACACATATCGGGAAGTTTATGTAACTTGCCT